TACGTCGAAAGAACCAACTCAGTCAATTAATACTAATTAGTGCATGTTGTGTTACAAAGCTAATAGCACCTTAATGACGATGCATTTCTGGAGTTTACGTAAGTGAATTTGATTTTTATCTAACCTTTGGTATCAAGTCGACGGTTCGTCGCATATTTTCAGTCATATAATTGCTATTTAAAAATAAGCACCTGTTGGACTGTTGACTTTCCATCAGCAAACTTATGTCTTTATATGTATTTTCGAAGAACTGTGGCATGCAATTTGGAATTATAAATCACAAAAAAAAAACACTTTACTATGAGTCCAGAATATCCATGAGGAGATCCAGTTATGAACTGATAATTAATATTTAATGTGACGTTCCTCAAGTTGATGTTATTAAACTTAAGCACGTAAAAAATGGATCTAATAAGCCGAAATATTTCGGGAAGATATGGATGAACTGAAATATTACCCTTTGTGGTGGAGCCTAAATTATTCATGATTCCTGTTGAAGTATTTGCGGATGCAAGTTAATTTTTTTTATTACATGCAATGGTTAGTCAGTTTTTGAATACTTCTAATGCATGATAATTTTTCTTTCACATTAAATTAAATTATTGTAAAGCTTAGTGTTCACACTTTGGAGATTTAATACTTGGCCAGAACTGTTGATAAATCTATTGAAGTATAACCATGTTTTTGGCAAAATTTCAGTTTAGCATCAATTACACCTTCATCCATATTTACAGCAAACAAAATAGTCAGCGTCAGTTCACAAAGCTCTAAAACTTTTCGTTTAGGTAATTCTGGCCTAAGAGGCGTATTAAAACAAATGGCTTCACCTGCAAACACGTTTCTGTATTTACGGCCGCGTTTCTTCAGTCGAGCAATTCGACGCCTTCCCACGTCTGCTAATTGTCGTTTAAGACAATATTTTTAATATTAGTAATAAAGTTCAGCTATTAACTCTTTTAAATGTTTATGAACTACCGGGTTAATTATTCATATTCTTTTTTGTAGCTTAAGTTGTATTATATCAATATTCTTAAACCGAAACAGACCTATGTAAACATATGGTTTGCTGCACAACTGATTAAAAGTTTAACAAAACATAATATAATCTTGTACGGTTTTTGCCAAATCTCAGTGGTCCTTTAGCGGACAATTAATCGCTCGGTAAAATTATGTATCTTTGCTTTTACGTATATAGCAATCAGTGTTCGGTTTCACATCAAGCTCACCAAAACATCGTGCGTGCTAAAACGGGAATATTTTTACAAACATTTCCTTTTTTTCATCAAAAATAAAGCAACGGCCGAAATCTACAATAGGCCGATGTCATCATGTAATTCCAAATATCCAGCTACCGAGGTCTAAAAAAAAAGTGTTGTACGAAAGCAGGCTAATAGAGCAGCTTATGTATCAGGATGTTTAAGGCATGTCATCTGTGATTCAAAATTGGTGTAATTTCTCTGGAGGTGTCATTTCTCTGAGGACGACAACAATGTTTTTCGGGGGTAATACCACAAGTGCTTTGAAATTACCGATAATTTTTCACGATTGCATGTTTTCCATAATTTCACGAGTCCGAAGGACAAGTGCAATTTGCAAGGAAAACATGCCAGAGTGAAATATTATATGGTTAAAGCTCGAATGGTATTTAGTGAGATTATTTCTCGAATTAAATATTAAAAATTAAATTTCAGAATATATTTGACATCAATCACTTTAAATAAATCAGTCGACAGTGATATTTTTTATGATTCCATGACGACGTGAAATTATCGGGGGTAATTGCACAAGTACTTCAAAATTACCGATAATTTTGCATGAAAGGTTGTTGTCTAAAAACTGCATGAGTTTATTTTCATATTGTGGCGAAAAAGCGAAAGTTTATTTTCATATTGTGGCTCCTCCTTCGGAGTCGGGCTTTTTCGTTCCAATGTGAAAATAAACGAATGCAGTTTTTACAAGACAACAAGCTCGAATGCAAAATTATCTGTTTATTTTGATGCACGAGTGTAATTTTGATGAATATATGCTGAGTAAAGAAAGTAAATGTGGATTCATTTTATTTCTATTATATTTTATTACCCTTTAAATTTTATTACTTATGTTTATTAAATTTAATTTGAATATCTTAGGTATGTCAGGAAGACA